CGATCTCCTGACCTTGTGATCCGCCCGTCTCGGCCTCCCAAAGTGCTGGGATTACAGGCTTGAGCCACCGCGCCCGGCCTAATTTTTGTATTTTTAGTAGAGACGGGGTTTCACCATACTGGTCAGGCTGGTCTCAAACTCCTGAACTCATGATCCGTCCGCCTTGGCCTCCCAAAGTGCTGGGATTACAGGTCTGAGCAACTGCGCCCAGCCTGCTTCCCTCTTAAAGCAAGTAAAATATCAGGCAAAACATGAAGTAACTATTTTTAAGACGGTGGGGCCTCAGGCAGTGAATTGTGTTGATTCATGAGAGACTGGAAACAAATGAGTGCTACAGTTCTACCAGTTTACTGCCTAGGGAGTTTCCAGACTACAGAGCATGGAGCCCAGTGGTCTTCTTGAGTTGAGGAAATTGAGTTAGGAATCTGAAGAAGCCAAGACAGCTAGAATTCACAAGGCAGCCACTATCCAAAGAACGAAACCCTTAAAAACCTCCTACGTAGGAGAAAATATAAATCTAGGCAACATTCGGTTTGGTGATGACTTCTCAGGTATGTAACACCTCAAGGTATGATCTGTGAAAGAAAAAATTGATGAATTGTGCTTTATCAGAATTTAAAAACTTCCACTCTGTGAAAGACATTGTGAAGAGAATGAAAAGACAAGCCACAGATTGGGAGAAAATATTTGCAAATCACATATTTGATAAAGGATTTCTATCTAGAGTATGTAAAGAACTCTTGAAACTCAATAATAGAAGGCTGGGTGTGGTGGTTCATACCTGAAATCCCAGCACTTTGGGAGGCTGAGGCAGGCAGATCACCTAAGGTCAGGATTTCGAGACCAGCCTGGCTAATATGGTGAAACCTCATCTCTACTAAAAATGCAAAAATTATCTGGGCATGGTGGTACGCACCTGTAGTCCCAGCTACTCAGGAGGCTGAAGCAGGAGAATTGCTCAAACCTTGGAGGTGGAGGTTGCAGTGAGCCGAGATTGTGCCACTGCACTCCAGCCTGGGCAACAAGACAGAGATTCTGTCTCAAAAAAAAAAAAAAAAAAATTTCAATAATAGGAAAAACAACTCAATTTTTAAAATGTACAGAAGATCTGAACAGATACTTTATTGAAGAAAATATGCAGATGGCACATAGACACAGGAAAAAGTCTTCAACCACATATATCATTAGAGAAATTAAAATTGAAATCACAGGATACTATAACACATTACTAGAATGACTATCAGAAAAACGGACAATAATAAATTGGTGACAAGGATGCAGAGCAACAGGAACTTGCATACATTGTTGGTGAGAATGGAAAATTATATGGTCACCGTGGAAGATAGTTTCATAGTGTCTTGTAAGACTTAACCATACAATCCAGCAATCACATGCCTGGGTATTTACTGAGTGATCTGAAAATTTACGTCTACATAAAAACCTATATACTGATGTTCATAGCAGCATATTCATAATTGCTAAGAACTATAAGCAATCAAGATGTCCTTTACTAGGAAAATGGATAAATAAACTGGTACATCCGTACAATGAAATACTATTCAGCTATTAAAAGGAATAATCTTTTGATTCATGCAACAACATGGACAAATTTTACAGTCCTGCACTCTACCAGACCTCCCCTCTACCAGGGGAGCTATTGAAGTGAGCGCACTTGGACGAATTTTAAGTGAATTTTACTAAGTGAAAAAGCAGGCCCCAAAAATCTGTCTGTTATAATATGATTCAATTTATATGACAGTATGTAAAAGGCACAACTAAAGAGATGGAAAACAATTGATTTCTAGGCATTAGGGGGAAGAGGAAGTAGTTGACTGCAAAGAGGATGCATGGAGGGACGTTTAGGGTGAAGGAACTGTTACATAGAGTAGTTGTTCTGTATATATGTATGTTCTGTATGATGCTGTGTATTTGTCAAAACCTTGGAACTGTGTATCACAATGAGTAAATTTTAGTATCTGTGAACTAATCATGCAAACACACACATGAATCAGGATATTGGGAGATCCCAAAATGGAACGCAGCCTGCGATAAATGAATCTAACTGTATTACAAATATATGGCATAACGACATTGAAGCAGTTAGGGAAAAGAGCTGACCTAAGTAAGTAACTTTGGAAAATGGTGTCTTGAGTGGAAACTGTTAATATAAGCCTAATACAAAAGGAACGGTACATAAACCTATACTCTAGTTGGATAATAGTTTTTCACGGGGGTACAGGTTAACAGTTCTTTACATATATATTGGGTTTGAACAAATAAGTAAATGAGTGTTGGATGGTGGGAGCCGTGTTTCTCAGTATTGGAAGGGAAGATACACAAGAAGGGAAGACTAGAATGAACTCTGGTACTGGATCATAGACGTAAGTATGAATTCGTGTTTAGCTGGCTGACTGAATGGATATAAAAGCAATTGTAATTGTGTGCGTAAGTATGTGCACACACTTGTACACATGGATTAATATACATCCATATATTACCTAGCTCTGTCCACTGAGCAAGTGCAGAAGCAGTGATACACCCATAGTAACAAGGACAACTAGTGCCTACAAATTCTTTCTTTCTTTCTGATTTTTTAAAGAGATGGGGTCTTGCTCTGTCACCCAGGCTGGTCTCAAACTCCTGGCCTCGAGGGATACTCCTACCGTGGCATCCCAAAATGCTGGGATTGCAGGTGTGAGCCACTCTGTGCCTGGCCCCTAGATTGTGGTTTCTAAGTATCATTCCTTAATAAAATAAATAAGAGCTTTTTGGAGAAATGACTGATTCTAGGGCTGTAGGGAAAATACAATTTGAGCCTGGAGTATCTTGTAGTACCAGAAAGTGAAGAAGTATTCAATTAAAAAAAAAAAAAAAAAAACCGTGTCAAAGGCACACAGGAACCAGCCTGAAAGATCTGTCATATTCTAATTAAACTTGGAATTAATGAGTTTTTTAAAAAGATATTTTTACTTGCATTTCTTTGATTGATAGTAATGTTTTTCACTTTTACTATTTATATTTGCTTTGTAAAGCATCTGATCTGACCTTTTTTCATTTTTCTATAGGTGCATTAGTGGTTTTCTAATTGATTTGTAAGAGTTCTCTAAATTTTTTGCAACATTAATCTTTATATTTCTTAACCTAATATTTCTAGGTATTTTTAGAAGTTTTTTCCTTGCTTGTAAGGCAAATGAATTTTAATGTTTCATGTCTATTTTTTAGTGATCAGTTTTATGAATTTATGTTGGATTGTCCCATAAAGAGGCAAAGGGCTACTAATTGAATACCTGCTGAGAACAGTTATAATGATAAAATCTACTTTCTCCATATTCTTTTAGACTCAACATCTATTGCAACAGAATATTCTCTGAAATTTGATGAATCCATGACGGAAGATGAAATAGAAGAACAATCATTTCGATCATTACTACCTTCAGAGAGTCACCGCAGATTTAATATGGAAAAGAGAAGAGGTCATCATGATGACTCTGATGAAGAAGCTTCTCCAGAAAAAACTACGCTGTCTACTGCCAAGGTGTGTTTCACTTTATCTGTGGAGGTAAATGGTTGTGGATATGTTCTCTCAAAGATATGAGAAAACATTTTGTACTTGTCTCATTTGTCAGCTACTAGAACGATTTTTCTAAGATATCAATTTTATTTTATAGTTTTCCTATGAAATCTGACTTCACTTTCCTTACAAAGTACAATACAAACTTATTTTTTGGAATGATATATGAGGCCTTTGAGGATCTGAGCCAATATTATCTCTCTAGCTTTTGTACTTGCTTCACTCTTCTAATGCTGTATTCATTTAGAAATTTACATTCGTTCTTAACAAATTGTATGCTTTTTGGTTAGCAGAAACAAATTCTTGTCCCACTTTGGATCCTTGGGACAGTAATTGGCTTGCAGTAGTTTATTAAAATTTTATTGGCTGAGTAAATTAGCAGATGAATGTTAATCTGCCTCATGTGCCTTTTTAAAGAATATTCTCTTACATTGTTGATGGCCTTGTTAAATACATAGTTTGTTTTTGTAAATGCATACCACTTTTAGTGGAGTGAAGTACCAAAAGGTTAGATAATCATAAACAAGAAAGAAACCATCTACTTTAGGAACTGAACATGCCATTCTCAGGAGGACAAGATAGCTTTTCTAAATTTACTATGGAGATGGTTCGACAGTATATGAAAGAAGAAGAAATGAGGGCAGCTCACCAGTCTTCACTCCTGCGTCTCCGCGAAAAGGCCTTGAAGGAGAAGACTAAGGCTGAGTTGGCCTGGTTAGAGCATCAAAAAAAGTAAGTTCTTTCAGTGAGTACAGTTTTCACTAATTTCTTCATTCTTAAAACAGAATGCTTTATATTTTAAGATGTTTTTGTTTCCTCATTTGATTTGATTTGAGCAACCCAGTTTCTCAAGCTAGAAGTATGGCAGTCATATTTGATTTGTATTTCTTTCAAGACCTCCTCCTACTCACATAACATTTTCTTTGCATTCCTCTTTTACCACTTAACTGACTGTAATCTTATGTTGTCATATGATACAATATTGTAAATTTCCCAAAGTCCTTCTGTCTTCAGAGGACACATTCTAGGGCTTGCATATACCTCAGTAAAAGACTTATTCGGATATGAATAGTTACAGCTACATGTAGCAACTGCTTTTCACATTTGAAAATGTTAAATTGGTTTGTAGACTTTTTAGTAGTCAAGAATTCTTGACATTATTCAGGTAAGAGAAATTTAATCAAATCTTTATCTGAATGAAAAATATTATTTGCAGACATCTACGAGACAAAGGAGAGGATGATAAAATGCCCCCACTCCGGAAGAAACAGCGTGGTTTGCTTTTAAGGTTGCAGCAAGAAAAGGTATGTTAGGGAAGACACCCCTTTAGGATAGCTTATAAGGCAAGTTAGTTTATGGAATCTATTATTTTGCCTGATTTCTTTTCCTTATTATTGCCTTAAATGAGATTTAGTTGATACTTCCACTGTTTATGTTCATACTACTATACTTATAGGGGTTGCTTGATAATCTACTGTATTTCTCCTAAATTAGGATTGTGTGTCACTGCTAAATTAGTAAAATACACAGGCAAACTTTCTACCTTCATGTAGTAAGTAAAAGAAAAATACTCTTTTGAAATACATATTTTAAAAATTAAGATATGTGTAAAAGAATCTATTTGGATTAAATTTTAAATTATTGTTTCCCTAGACTTTCATGACATATTAATTACATATTGATAAATATTTTGGCTTAATGGACTTAGAAAGACCTTAGTTTTGAATTCTGGAGAGGCAGCATGGTAGTGTAGTGGTAAAGAATTCAGGCTCTGGAGTTAGATTTCCTAGGCTAAAATCCCAGCTTTACCAGTTGCTGGTTTCATAACCTGGAACAAGTTACTTAACTTCTCTGTGTCTCAGTTTCCTCATCTGTAAACTGAAGATAATAATAGTAACATACTTTATAGGGTTGTTTTGAGGAATAAGTGAGTTAATACATAAAATAAACTTAGAGCAGACCGTGGCACAATGGTAAGTGCTCAATAAATGTTAGTTGCTATTATTTGAATTCCAGTGTTGTCCCTTGCAACTGTGTAATCACGGTCAAAGTTTAAGTAACTCTCTGAGACTTAATTTCCTCATCTGTAGGAGTGGGATTATACTTCATATGGTGGTTGTGAGGATTAAATGAGGTAACATATGTAAAATGTGTTTCACTGTGCCTGGTAAGTATTCAATAGATTCTAGTTACTTTTTTCCATATTAACCTGTTGCCAGGTGCTAGCTACTATGTTAAATGATTTAGGAACCTAATTATCTGAATTATATATTGGCTTATTACTTAGTTATATGTTTATCCCAGGAAACATTACAGATGATATGAATTTGAATAAATTCTGAATTCTATTAAAAAAAAAAGTTGTGTATTTTTAATCCAAAAAATTGATTTTAAAATAAATTAAAATTTTTTCTTAGTTAAAATAAGTAAATAACTTTCTATAATGTTACAGTAGCTTTCTGTTATAAAATAAAATGAAAACAAGATTTATAAATTTATCCCTCATTCTGTGGGGTTTCTTTTCACTTTCTTGATAGTATCCTTTGAAGTATAAGATTTTTCATTTTAATACGTCTGGTATTTTATTGCATGCCTGCTAATAACACATTTTTTGTTTTGATTAGTTTGAAAATGTATTTGTTTCACCTTTATGTTTGAAGAATATTTTTAATAGGCATAAAATTATTTTCTTTCAGCACTTTTAAAGATGTTTTTCCATTATTTACTGCTTTTATTGTTTATGTGGAGAGGTCAGTTATCTTAATCTTGTTCTTTTGAAGGTTCCTTTTAAGATTATTTAAAAATTATCCAATTTTTCAGTAGTTTTACTATGATGCATGTAGGCGTGGTTTCCTTTGTATTCATCCTATTTAAGATTTGCTGAGCTTCTTGTATTGGTTGTTTTATTTAATCAGTTTTTCAGAAACTGTCTCTTCGTGTATTGCTTCTGCTCCCGCCTCCCTTTTTTGTGTGTGTGTGTGAGACAGGGTCCCACTCAGTTGCCCAGGCTGGAGTACAGTGGCACGATCTCAGCTCACTGCAATCTCTGCCTCCGGGGCTCAAGCAGTCCACTCACCCAAGCCTCCCCTGTAGCTGGGACCACAGGTGTGTGCCACCAGTGCCAGGTAATTTTTTGTAGAGATGGGGTTTCACCATGTTGCCCAGGCTGGTCTTGAACTCCTGGACTCAAGTGATCCCCAACCTTGGCCTCCCAGAGTACTGGGATTACAGGTGTGAGCTACTGTGCCTGGCCACTTCTGCCTCATTCTTTTTCTCTTTTACTTCAGGGACTTCAATTAGACATAGGTTAGACCTTTTGACCATTTGCCACATCCCTTTCCTCTGTCTTGTTTGTATTTTATTCCTTAAAACAAACAAATTAAAAACTAAAAACACTGTGCTTCAGTTTGGAAAGTTTTTATTGACCTGTCTTTGAGTTCATTAGTATGTCTTCTACTTTGCCCAATGTACTGCTAAGTCTCTCCAGTGAGTTCTTAATTTGATCTGTTTTAGTGTTTTAGTTCTATAATACCCAATTTTATTCTTTTTAAAATAGATTTTAAGTCTGTTGAAATTTTCTACCCTTTAATCTACTTGGTTTTTGTTTTTGTTTTTGTTTTTGTTTTTGAGACGGAGTTTCACTCTTCCTGCCCAGGCTAGAGTGCAATGGTGTGATCTTGGCTCACTGCAAACCCTGCCTCAGCCTCCTGAGTAGCTGGGATTACAGGCGTGTGCCACCACACCCAGCTAATTTTTTTGTATTTTTAGTAGAGATGGGGTTTCACCATGTTGGCCAGGCTGGTCTCAAACCCCTGACCTCAGGTGATCCACCCGCCTTGGCTTCCCAAAGTGCCGGGATTACAGGCATGAGCCACTGTGCCTGGCCTACTTTTCTATCTTTTTCTACATGTTATCTGTAGTTATTTTAATTTTCTGTACTGTTATTTCTTCCCTGTCTGCTTATATGTAGCCATCTGTGCCTCTATTATTACTATTGTCTGTTTTCTTTTTTTTTTTTTTTAACTATCGTATGGCTCCTTTACTTTGCATGCCTAGTAATTTTTTTGTTGAGTACTAGACAGCAGTATATAAATAACTGCAAAGGCTCCAGCTGATGGTCTCTTCCCCCAGAGAGGATTTATCCTTTCTTTTGCTATTTTATTAGAGTTTTCTTTTGCTATTTTATTAGAGTTATCAACTGTTCATCTTAATTCATTCAAAGATTGTGCTGGGTTAGGGTTGGGTTGTAGAGTTGGTAAGCCTCAGTCTATGTCTGGTTTGCATTGTCCCTGGGTTGGGGCTCTCCAGGGCTTCACTGGAAACCCAGATACAATTTTTTACTCAGCACAAGAGACTGGGGATTTCTGCTGTGCTTTCAAGACTTTTCTGGGTTAACTCCTTAGCCCTCTATGTGCTCCTTCAGAACTTGACAACTGCTTTGAGGAGAATGTGAGTTTAAGATCTCCTGAGTCTCCAGTTTTGTCACTGCGGCTCTGTATAGCTGGTTAGAGTGTTGACTGGTGTAACCACTTTGAGTTGAGAGCAATTGCCACTACCTGGTTCAGTTGAGGACATATATGATATATGACTCAGCAGTTCTGTCTTGGTATATATCCTAAAAAAGCTTTCACATATGTGCAGAGGAAAATGGAAACAACTTAATTTCTTCAATAAAAGAATAGATGAAATAAAACATATTCTTGCAAGAAAGTATAGTACTACAGGAAACTGAATGTATTAGATATCAGCACTGTCTATAGAGATATCTGAAATGATAGTAATTTTCTATATCTGTGTTGTCCAATACTGTGGCTACTAGCCACATGTAGCTAGAAGCTGTCATACTGGAGAGTGTAGCAGTAGATCTTCCTTTACCAAAAACCATAATGTTCTTTTTTATAGAAAAGCAAGATGCAAAGAATATATACAGTATTATACCAGTCATGTAAATTTTTTTAATGTAACCAATTAGTAGTATATGTTCTTTGGAACCACTCATGCATCAAAAGCAAAAAACCACATATAGGAATGATACACTTCTGGGGAAGAGAGGAAGGAGGAAGAGATTGGCATGGAGTTTGGTTTCATCTATGTTTATCTATTTATGGATAACATATTTGAAACAAATGTGCAAACTGTTAAATATGTTTAATGCCAGTGGTAGGGATATGAGTGACTACTTTTTCTTTTTGTAATACTTAAGAATTTTTTAAGTAAATGTGCAAAATATACTCTTTGATCCAATTGGTTACCCCTGAAAAGTTGCCTTATAAGGTTGAAAGAACCAAAGTGTAAGAATATATGTGCTAAGATACCTATTGCAACTGTAGCAGAAAGAATTCTTTTGACTGATAGTGAAATGGCTGGCTCTAAGCAATTTGGTACAACCGTATCCAAAAAAGAGAGACCGTATTTTCCTATGTCTTACTAGTTTTACCCTCCCTGAAGTGATATTCATAACACATAAAAATAACCATTTTAATAAAGTGAATAATTCACTTATACTATTCACCATTTTAAAGTAAGCAATTCATTTGTACAACTTTGTGTGTTCTTACAAGAGGAGCAAACCTTGTTTCCCAAGTATTCCTTAGAAATTGTCTTTTTTTTCTTCTAGGCTTGAATTGGGTGAATTTATACATTATTTGGTTCAGAAACTCAGGCCTAAGTTAGTGGAAGTGTCAAAATGTACCTTGTGAAACTCTGGCCTCTAAGACCCTTTCACAGGTCTGGAAGATCAAAACTATTTTCATAATGATACTCTGATATGAATTTACCCTTTTCACTGTGTTGACATTTGCACTAAATAGGAGAAAACAATGCTGAGTAAAACTACTGGTGCTTTAGCACAAGTCAGTGGCACCAAACCGTATTGGTAATTGTCTTATTCTTCATGCCACTTACTTGCAGTTAAAGAAAGCAAGTTTCATTTAGAATGTCCTGATTGAGTAGTAAGAATTATTAATCTTATTGTCTTAAACTCTTGAGTACATGTCTTTTTTGTATTCTGTGTGACAGAAACGGGAAATCCATAATCAGACACCTTTGCTCGATACCAGAATATAGTGATTAATTCAAGGAGAAGTATTTGTGCGCTTGTTTGAATTGTGAGCTTTTTTTAAAATTTTTTTTCATGGAATAGCATTTTTACTTGAAAGAATGATTCAAGGCAAACTGTGCTAATTCAGATTTGGTTATTTGACAAATGTTTTTCTCAAAAACGAAGCAAGTATCCCTGTCACTTCAGAAAAATAACTGACAGCATATATTGCCAATGATAAAATTCAAGCTTTCACACACAAGTCAGGATTCTGAAAAATTTCCATTGCCCACCCAAAATAATTTTTCTTTTGAGATTAATGGTGATATTCATGAGTATAACTGTTTGATATTGCATAATGAAGTGTGTCAACATTTAGAAAATCTGCATAACTTAGTGAACCAACATTTTCCCAGTGATCAATGCACAATGTTAAAAAAAATCAAGCTAGACGATAAAGAGATATGCAAAACGCTAAAATATTCTTTTCACTAAATTATTTTTTGTTTTGGAAAATATAGTTGCTTTCTTTAAAATGTATACAACCATTGTATACTCATTAGGGAATGAGAATAAAGAGCAAATAATATAGTTGCTCATAATGTATTTAGTATTATAAAAAATGGTTTGATGCTCAGAGTCCCCTGACAGGGTCTCAAGACTTCCAGGGACTCCATAGAGCACACTCTGAGAACTACTACTCCAGAAAAATTTATAAATGTGCCCAAAAAGACAAAATATATAAGGCTCTTTACTTACAGCATTGTTTGTACAATAGTAAAAAATAAACAACAACCTTAAAATCTCACCATATGGGGTGGGCACAGTGGCTCACACCTATAATCTCAGTACTTTGGGAGGCCAAAGCAGACGCATCACTTGAGGCCAGGAGTTTGAGACCACCCTGGGCAACATAGCAAGACTCTGTGTCTACAAAAAAATAAAATAAAAATTAGCTATGCATGGTGGCACATGCTTGTAGTCCTAGCTACTTGGGAGGCTAAGGTGGGAAGATCACTTGAGCCCACAAGTTTGAGGCTGCATTGAGCTGTGATTGAGCCACTGTACTCCAGCCTGGGCAACAGAGCAAGACCTTGTCTCTAAAAAATTTTAAAAATAAGAATAATCCCACCATATGGGTAATAGATAAATATATGGTTCTCCACTCTAATTTTATGCAGCATTAAAAGGCATAAATTAGCATGGCGAAATATCAAAAGTGATATCTAGTAAAGCAAGATTTAAAACATATACATATGATATTTATAAAATATTTTTAAACATACAAACCAAATAGTGTATCTTTTTTTTACAGATAAGCACAAATATTTTTGTTTACAGATAAGCACAAATATTTTTAGAATAATTTAAAAAGAATGTGCTGGAAGGATAGATACTAAACCCATGATAGTTGTTACCTCTGAGGAGTTGGGGCACAAGATTGCAGACTAGTTTTATCCGTAATGTTTTATTTCTTTACAGGATTAAAGACTTGGAGAAAATATAACTGAATATTAACAATTGTTAATTTGATGTTTTGGAAGTGTAGATGTTTACAAAGCACTTTTTTGCATTTTAAGGTAGTTTCAAAAAATCTCAATGATTAAAATAATTATAACTACAAATTTTAATGTCTTTATTATGCTTTATTAATAAGAAAACATTGATTGATTGAGACAGGGTCTCACTCTGTTTCCTGGGCTGGAGTGCAGTGGCATGATTTTGGCTCACTGCAACCTTGACCTCCTGGCCTCAGGTTGATCCTCCCACCTCAGCCTCCCAAGTAGCTGGGACCACAGGTGAGTGCCACCATGCCTGGCTAATTTTTGTATCTTTTGTAAAGGCGAGGTTTCACTGTGTTGCCCAGGCTAGTCAACTCCTGGGCTCAAGTGATCTGCCTGCCTTGGCCTCCCAAAGTGCTAGGATTACAGGTGTGAGCCAACATATCTAACCAAAAAAACAGATTTAAAACAAATTTATTTTTAAAAAAGGATTATCTGTTAAATTTTGACAATTATTAGCAGTGAAATGTGTTATCTTCTGCCCACATAGCAATTGAAAACTCAGTATTCTGTGTGGAGAGAGATTGATGCAATGTAGTCTTAAATGTTTCTGGTAGCATTGTAGGCGGGGGCAGTCCTTTTTTGAAAGCAATTTTAAAAACTGTTTTTAAGAACCATAAAATGATTCATTGTCTTTGACGTGTTTATTTTACTTTTAGAAATCTCTCCTAGAGAACTAGTCTGTGGTATGGTCATTAAAGCATTATTTGGGATAGTAAAACATTATAGGGGCCTAAAAGTTTAGCAATAGAATAATAGTTACATTAATTAGTTTACTTGATAAGCAGCTATTAAACTAGTAAGTGTAAACGTTAAGTAGCATTATGGAAAAATGTGAAATGTATGTTTTAAAATGGGATATGAAATTATCAGTCTAATTATAATTTAAATAAAATTAAGGGATCATATGAAATTATTTTAGAATGGTGAGATTGTATGTGATTTATTTCCTGCCTCATTATTTTTTAAACTTTTCAGTATTACTACTTTTGTTATAAAATACTGTATGTATTTGTTTTTAATATATGTGATGATTTTTTTTTAAATATTACTTTGGCCTTGTCTTCTTCCAATCTTGATCCCTGTCTTAACTCTTTAAACCTTAGGCAGAAATAAAACGTCTTCAAGAAGCCAATAAGGCAGCTCGGAAGGAAAGACAGCTGATTCTTAAACAGCAGGAGGAGATAGAAAGGATCCGACAGACCACCATAAAACTACAGGAGAAGTTGAAGTCTGCAGGGGAGAGTAAATTGGTAAACTACATGAAGTTATTATTTGTTTCCTGTCTTAGGTTGATTGCCGGTATCTCACCCTGTCTCATGTTCTAAGATGATAGTCATTCAAACAGTATGATACAATAATGAACTAGGATAAAGTTCTATGGATGGGCCAGTCTTAGTCCATTTTCTGTTGCTATAACTGAATACCTAAGACTGGGTAATTTATAAAGGAGCAAAATTTTTTCTTACAGTTCTGGAAGGTGAGAAGTTCAAAGTCAAGGTGCCACATCTGGTGAGGGCCTTCTTGCTGACAGGGACTCTCCACAGAGTCCCAAGGGGTGATGCAGGGCATCACATGACATGGGGGCTGAGTGTGCTAACTCAATCCTCTCTTTCTTATTAAGCCACTAAAGTCCAACCCTTATGACATCGTCTATTTCTAATTACCTTTCAAAAGTTCTACCTCTCAAATACCATAGTCTGATTTCCCACTGTCTTAATGTTACAATGAAAATTAAGATTCAACATGAGTTACAGAGGGGACAAACATTCAAACCGTAGCAATGCCCTAATGTATAGTGAGAGTTTTATTTTTTTCCTATGGAATATTCAAATTTTGAAAGGGCCACATAGTTCTTATACAATATTAGTTTAATTTAGTATATATTTCACTTACAAACTAAATTGGAACAGAGGGCTTTGCTCTTATTTATCAATCCAAATATATTCTTCAGAATTAATGGGGGACACTGTTTTACTATTTACATGATACTCATCTTAGCTATCCAACTTTAATACAATGATACATGATTCAAAGGAGATATTAGACAAAAACAAAATTTGAAACTTTCTTTTTTTTTTTTGTCGAGGGAGGACACGGTTTCACTCCATCACCTGGACTGGAATAAAATGGTGCAATCACCGCTCACAGCAGGCTTGACCTCCCAGGGGTCAAGTAATCCTCTCACCTCAGCCTTCCCAGTAGCTGGGACTATAGGCATGCACCTCCACCCCCAGCGAACTTTTTGTAGAGATGGGGTTTCGCCATGTTGTTCAGGCTGGTCTCCAACTCCTGGGCTCAAGCAATCCATCTGCCTTAGCCTCCCAGAGTGTTGGGATTACAGGTGTGAGCCACCATGTTCAGTGGACCTATTCTAAGGTACTATAAAATGTCAGTGTAGGGCTGGGTGCCGTGACTCACGCCTGTAATCGCAACAGTTTGGGAGGCCTAGGTGGGCAGATCGCTTGAGCTTAGGAGTTTGAGATCAGCCTGGGCAACAGGGCAAAACACCCAGCTCTACAAAAAATACAAAAATTAGCTGGGCATGGTGGCATACACCTATAGTCCCAGCTACTTGCAAGGCTGAGGTGGGAGGATTGCTTCAGCCTAGCGGGCCGAGGCTGCAGTAAGCTGTGATCACACCACTGCACTCCAACCTAAGTGATAAAGCAAGACCCTGTCTCAAAAAAAAAAAAAAAAAAGTCATTATAGTGTGAGAAAACTCAAACTGTGTAGCAGTATAATTTTTAAAATTCCTAATATGCTCTGCTTTGATTTTTAAAGTAAACTTTAAATTTTGAAAAAATCTGAAACTTACAGAAAAATGTCAAACAGTACAAAAAATTCTGTTATCCTGAGTTATCTGAGAGTAAGTTGCCAACAAATTAACAGTGATACATTACTACCGCTTAATCTGCAGACTACCTGAAAGTGGTTGCCCTTCTCATTCCACCTGGGCTCTGACTCCCCAAATTGGGCTATTCCCATCTCCTCATACCTTCTCTTCCTTATCTCTTTGGACTCTGGCTATTGTGCTAGGAAGTTCTCTGTGGTAAGGCCATCCTCACTGTGTTTGGGCTTGCAATTGTGTGTGGGGTCACTTCCATGTGACATTCTTGTTGGCCTTCTTGGGCTCTGATTCTCCTTACCAGCCACCCTCCTGCATTAAATGCCCTCTTCATCCTGCTCAGGTTCTGAGACCCCACTCTTGCCCTCCTGTGTCCCTCAGCCCCTACAGAGATGCCTGCCTTGCTCTGTCCCATCCAGTGACTTTAAGACTGAACTGTTCAGGAGGAAGAAAGGGAAGCTCAAGGGCTCTACTTTTTTTTTTTTTTTTTTTTTTAACAAAATAAAAACAGTCATGACTGTCCCTACCCACCTACCCATCTTCCTGAAAAGTTAGGAGAATAAATGACTGTGGGGAAGGCATACTAAGCAATTAAAGTTTTACTTTTTGCTCATCAGAAATAATGTATTGATTAATAGTTTCCAGATGTTTTCTTTACAAACTTTTTTAATTTTTGAAAACCTAGTTTTGCATAAGGAATATTCAAAGGAAAAAACCCTTGCCCTCGTATGATTAAAATAAATGTTACATCTTCCAGTCATTCTTTGTGTCTGTACATGTGTGTTTTATATAGTTATAGATCTAACTTTTTTATTCCTTTTGAGTGGTTCAATTTTGAAATCTCAGAGAGGATGTGTAGATACTAGATTACTAATAGCAGAAGCTTTTTTGGATTTCTTACATTTCTTTAAAATTATTACATGTTGTGATATTCTTTTTTTTTCTCTATATATAAATGATGGTTAAAATATACATAATATGAAATGTACTAGTTTAACCATTTTTAAGTGTGTGATATATTTTGTCCTTTATTATCTTATTTTCAACTCTTGTTACAAACATTGTATTGTGGATAAACTTAATTTTGAATTGACAGTATTATGATGACTTCAAGGTCCTATTAAAGTCCAATACAATTTTGCCTCTTTTTGTTTGCAGGACTCTCATAGTGATGAAGATACAAAGGATAATAAGGCAACCAGTCCTGGTCCAACTGACTTGGAGACCCGCAGTCCTTCTCCCATTTCAATCTCCAGCAGTGAAACTAGCAGCATTATGCAGAAACTGAAGAAAATGAGAAGCCGCATGGATGAAAAGTAATTTGTTTTGTATAAATATCTCTTGTTTAGTTACATTGAAAGTAGTACAACAAATAACATTTGTAATATACTTCATTAGATTGAGACAAATATTTTATGGATTCAGTAGCATTTTAGCAGAATTGTTAGAAGCCAATTAACTGTAGATCTTATTTATAAAACAGTTTTAATACGAACAGGTTTCTTATTTTAAAAAACCAAAAAACAAGGCTAGGAGTGGTGACTCACACCTATAATCCCAGCACTTTGAGAAACTGAGGCAGGAGGATCATCTGAGCCCAGGAGTTCAAGACCAACCTGGGCAACATAGTGAGACCCCCGTCTCTACAAAAAAATAAAATTAGCTGGGCATGGTGCCATGTGCCTGTAGTCTCAGCTATGTGGGAGGCTGAGGTGGGAGGATTCTTTGAGCCTAGGAGGTCAAGGCTGCAGTGAGCTATGATTGTGCCACTGCACTCCAGCCAGGGTGACAGAGCTAGACCTTGTCTCCAAAAAAAAAAAAAAAAAAAAAAGTATCTGCACGTGTACCCATAATAAAGTTTTTCCCCTTTCTTTTACTAAAAGAAAGGCATGTCTAATAATTTGGGGAAGCAACTAATGGTATATCCTGACATTTCATCCTGTGGCTCTCTGGCACCTCTCAGGCTTATTCAAATAGATGAAATTTTAACCTGGTGAATAGGTATGAGTTCCTTAGCTAAAAGCAGAAAGGCTGAAAATTTCCAGGAATGTTGATTTGGCAGTCTAACCTTCTTCTAAAATAGTTCTGAGAATTAATGTGTAAAGACTCTGAAAGAAAGCTACTCCAACTTAGATATAGCTCAGGTGTACATCAGTGTTGACCATATAAAATGACATTTATGTGAGACTTTTACTCTTTGGGGTATATATTTAATTAAATACGGTTATAAATTAACTGCTTGTGGACTCTATTCTGGCCTCTGTAACCTCCACCCCATATCTAGCTTCCTCGAAACCCATTAAATATGAAAGAGACTCATTAGAAATTTTTGTTGACTACCCATTTTAAGTTCGCAATTTGAACTACTACAGATTGAATTTAAGTTTTAATTTGATAACCTTTGGCAGTATACCACACATCACCAAATTTAATGATGCTCTATTTATATGTTAAATCAATCTATGATTTAGTTTGTTTTGCAACAGTCAAGCAGTTGTAAGTGAAATCCTTACTTTCTGTAGGTGCAGTTCTATATTGGCACTTCATTGCAAGAAAGGCATTTCATAACTTAAAAACACCTAAATTGATTATGTAAATGTCTTAAATACAGCTTTAAAAAATTAAAAATATAAGAGGTGAAACCAAGTATTGACAAATATATGAATGAATGTTCCTTTTGGATGATTTCCATGGGATAGACTGATAAAGGCTTCTTCAAGTGGGAATTTATTAAAATTTAGATTAAACATGTTTTCTTCCTTTCCTGATAAAAATTTCCAGTAGCCTATATGGGCATACTGTATTGTTCCAGCAATCTTTTGAAATAAAAATTAGAATAATCTCTCCGATTTTTAATCACTAATTTGACTTTGTATATCTGCCACAAATGTCTTTGAGTGGTAAATGTTGGGGGAACACAGTGTCAGGGTGATTTCTTCATTGATCCCTTGCTCTTCTATTTCAGTAAAATCTTCATTGCCAGTGTCTACGAATGATATCCTAATTTGACCACCTTTGTAGAAAAAAGCTGTTAATTCTAGTCTGCCCTTGAGGTCAGTCAGTTTCTGGGCTGCTTATTTCAGATTTGGTTAAAGCTGTAAAAATCCTAAATAACAAGTTTAAGTTTGGATTTATTGACTTTGTTCCAAATTTTGTTAATTATTTTAATATATTCCAAAATATTAATCACCTAGAGTGTTTGTATTATTCCTCTACCTTTCCTTGACAACTATGGCAATTGATTTTTGAGAGATTTGTCAAGGAGAATAGGCATTGAAGCATTCAGTGACTTTTTGATCTGTTTGAGGCAATGAAATTGTGTTTGTGATAGGAATAAAGACAGTAGTGTCAAAGAAATGTTTGAATGATGGTGCTGAAATCTGAGGATGTGGCCGGGCCTGGTGGCTCACGCCTGTAATCCCAGCACTTTGGGAGGCCGAAGCGGGCAGATCACCTGTGGTCAGGAATTCAAGACCAACCATGGCCAACATGGTGAAACCCCGTCTCTACTAAAAATACAAAATTAGCCAGGCGCGGTGACACATGGCTGTAATCCCAGCTACTCTGGAGGCTGAGGCAGGAGAATCACTTGAACCTGGGAGGTGGAGGTTGCAGTGAGCTGAGCTCACGCCCCTGTACTCCAGCCTGGGCAACAAGAACAAAACTTAGTCTCAAAAAAAAGAAATCTGAGGATGAACTAAAGTATTTTCCGAAATTGGTGGTGCATAGAAAAGGAAGAGTATTGTTATGCACTATTTTTTGGTCTCTGAAACAAAGTAATGTGAAAACTAGCTTTTAAATACCATTTATATTATCAGAGCACCATAGTTTCATCTCCTTCAATGATGTTGGAATGTCAGCTCAATAAATACAGAGTCAGTTAATTTCATAGTCATTTGCTACAGTAGACACCTAACGACAAAATCATTTGAACCTCTGCTACTTCGTGACCAGGAACTTATTTGTTCCATAGATTTGCAAAGGCAGTCATTTCTATTTTATTGTTATAAATCACCAAAGAGTAGTCGTCCTTCTCAGTAAATTTAGCTAGTTTTTAGGGGGAACCTTTTCATTTTGTGTCATTGCTTATTGGTAACTTTCTGAACTCTGATTTTATGACAGGTATTTTTCTGAAGTGATCATATCATTTTTGGCTATAGTGAAAGATTTCCTTTTTTTTTTTTTACTGAGACAGTAATGCCTTTATTGAATATTAAAAGCCATACGTTATATTCCTAACATATGGCTTTTGTTGACCTCTTCGTTGAGTAGACATTTTATAAATGTCATATAATTTCCATTTATCAGCATATTAAAAGGAAAAAATAATATTCAAAATGTGAAAGACAATAATGAAAACATGTTTGCAAAAGACATACAGTAGATCTAAGCCATGAACTGAATAGCTCTCGGTGGTTTTGGTTATATTGGTAAGTGAAATCTGAGTTTTATTACTGCAAGGGATGTTATTTACAATTTAAGTGGATTGCCTATAAACATGAAACAGATATTCATGGAAAAACACCCCGATTGACTCTTCCTGTTTATAGAACAAACGAAACACTGAAAGAATGGTGTTTTCTTCATCTTTAAGTGTTTCATTACTTAAAATAGGACACTGCATTTTTTCTTTCATTCGTTAACAGTAGCTTCTTCTTCCATATTATTTATTAATTATACACTTACTCTCTCAGCAATTGTTTATTGATTAATGTTTGAGTATGCTAAGTTCTGAGGGGTACCAAGATAAATCAGACTTAAACCCTGGTCTCAAGCTTAGAGTGTAGACGGAAAAAAGAATGAGGGGCAGGTTCATATAGAGAAGTATATCTAGATCAATTGTTAAGGAAGTTCAGAAAAGAGAAATTCTTACTGACAGTGTGATGTATGTCAAGGACATTTTCATGGATGAGTGTACCTTTTTTAAGAGTCTCACTATGTTGCCCACAATAGGGTTGAATTCAAACTCCTGGGTATGAGTGATCCTCCCCACTCAGCCTCCTGAGGGAGTTAAATATATTGTTGAATTAGTAAGTACTTTCAAACATCAAAAGAAGGGGCAGAAAGTATATAGCTATTTTTTGGTTTGGTCATTCATTGCAGACCACGGTAGCATAGAAAGATGAAACCTTTAGTCACAACATTTTAAATACTCTTTTTACACTTCCCAGTTGGCTTACAACACTGTTAAAGGAGAAAAATTAATGTATTTGGTTTTAAATGATTGATCAAAAAGTTAAGCAGATAAATATTTTATGACATTTCTCTGTCCAAATGTCTCTGTCCAAATTTATTGTCTGATCAATGTCGAAATCTTCACCATTAATATGAATTTTAAAAATGAAAGATTTTCAAGAGAAGGCTTTTGATATTCCATTAAAGGAGATATTTTAATTAGATTGTTTTAAATAATAATGTTAAATAGCATTGCCTTAAATTGAGTAGAATTTTCTTAGATAACATTCTAGTCCACGTATAGTAGCTGAATAAATCCTGATAGTCTGATACTTTGTTTTTATTCTCTGCGGGAATTCCTAGGTCAGGAGTAATGTGCTGTATTATTTTGTTTACTTAGGTGTATGTAAATTATTAGATAATTTTAAGTAATAGAATAGATTTTGCTATAGAAAATCAGACCTGGAGGCCGAGACGGGCAGATCACGAGGTCAGGAGATTGAGACCATCCTGGCCAACACGGTGAAACCCCGTCTCTACTAAAAATACAAAAAATTAGCCGGGCGTGGTGGCGGCGCCTGTAGTCCCAGTTACTCAGGAGGCTGAGGCAGGAGAATGGCGTGAACCCGGGAGGTGGAGCTTGCAGTGAGCCGGGATCTGGCCACTGCACTCCAGAAAAAAAAAAAAAGAAAAAAGAAAATCAGACCTAAGCTACATTTTCTTTTTGGTCAAAACTGTCTATATCCTCATTTGTCCTCCTGTTTTTTTTTTATTATTATTATTAAAGATGCTAAAATACTCAAAATAATCCGTTTTAAAATGTAAAGCACTAATGTTCCATTTTTAATTATAACAGTAATAGAATTAAAAACCCAGAAGGAATAAAATGATTTAAGGTATTAAGTTTTTTTGTGAGTTTTGTTTTGGGAAGAGTAAAAAGTAATGTTTTAGTTTAGCTAGGTAGTCTCAGTAGTTTGGAGATACATAGCATTGCATAAGGATTCATTAATAAAGCAGCAGTAATTTTCTTCAAGATCAGTACAAATACAGCAGTGATTCTTAACTTTTTGGGGATCTTGAGTTCACTTGTAAATCAGACGAATGCTTTGGAACCTTGCCTCAGAAAAATGCATATACACACAAGTATACAATCTTACATGCAATTTCAGGGTGTCCATGGACTCCTTGGTATTCCAGTGGAGTAACTAATGATAATGGAAGCACAGTAACATACTAAACAAATACAGAACTGTAAATGTTTCTTCTGTGAAGGTATTAAGATTTTGTTTGTTTTTGATATCTTTTATAATGAAAGGATTTTTAGACATAGGAGTTCTATTTAAAATTTAGATTATAATTTTATTCAAATTATAGAATGATTTTATAATCTGTTAGAATGTGGCCACAATTATATCAGCTCAGTGGGCAACAAAAGTTCTCACCTACATCACATGGTCTAGCAGTCACATGGTCTGACAGTCTTTTGAGGTACAAAATAAGTGGAAATAGTCCAACGGAGAGTCATAAAATGTTAAAATTAGAAGGGCTCTTAGGGAAGCCATAAAACATAGTCCCTTCGTTTTACATGAAGAAATTGAGGCCCACAGAGTTTATGTAACTTTCCCCAGGTCACACACACACAGCAGAATGGCAGAGCTGAAACTAGAACCTTGTTTTCCAGAGTTCAGCTAGCTAAAGTCAAAGTTAAGTTAGCATATCTGCTTTCAACCTCATAGATTTTTTTAAAACCTAAATTGATGACTTAAAGTTATCTTCATTGGAAACTGATCCTTCTAAATAGTATTTTGTTGAAATTAGCAAAGTGCTAGATGGCTAATTACTGGAGTTGAATAGCTGTACAGAGCAAGTTCAGAATGTGAAAGTGTGACTTTAAAAGTGAATTAAGGCCAAGTGCGGTGGCTCACGCCTGTAATCCCAGCACTTTGGGAGGCCGAAGTGGGCAGATCATGAGGTCAGGAAATCGAGACCATCCTGGCCAACATGGTGAAACCCCGTCTCTGCCAAAAATATAAAAATTAGCTGGGCGTGGTGGCACGTGCCTGTAATCCCAGCTACTCGGGAGGCTGAGGCAGGAGAATTGCTTGAACCAGGGAGTCAGAGGTTGCAGTGAGCCAAGATCGCACCATTGCACTCCAGTATGGTGACAGAACAAGACTCCGTCTCAAAAAAAAAAAAGTGAATTAAGCCAGGCACAGTGGCTCATGCCTGTAATCCCACTACTTTGGGAGGCCAAGGTGGGTGGATCACCTGAGGTCAGGAGTTGAAGACCAGCCTGGTCCACATGGTAAAACCCTGTCTCTACTAAAAATCCAAAAAATTAGCCAGGCGTGGTGGTGCATGCCTGAAATCCCAGCTACTCAAGAGACTGAGGCAAGAGAATCTCTTGAACTCGGGAGACGGAGATTGCAGTGAGCTGAGGTTGCACCATTGCACACCAGTCTGGGCAACACAAGTGAAACTCCATCTCAAAAAAAAAAAAAAAAATTTAAAAAGTGAATTAAGCTGGCCACATCGGCTCAGGCCTGTAATCCCAGCACTTTGGGAGGCTAAGGCAGGTGGATCACCTGAGGTCAGGAGTTCAAGACCAGCCTGGCCAACATGGTGAAACCCAGTCTCTACTAAAAAAAAAAATACAAAAATTAGCCGGGCATGGTGGCAGGTGCCTTTAATCCCAGCTACTTCAGAGACTGGGGCAGGAGAATCGCTGAACCCGGGAGGTGGAGGTTGCAGTGAACCGAGATGGTGCCACTGCACTCCAGCCTGGGCAACACAGCAAGACTCCGTCTCAAAAAAAAAAAGAGCTAATTAAGTACTCATTAATTCCTTAAGTTCAAACATTTAAAAAACTTAATGATTTCCATACTAGACTAAATCTGTTGTGTATCTTATTCTTGTCCAGTGTTCCGTTACCATCAGAGGACTTGTTGGGGCAATGCGTTGACATCAATCAAAAGCATTTTGTATTAGTCGGCATTTATGTCTGCATCATTCACAATTTTTGTTTCTTTTCTGTGTAGCATCTTGAAGGATTATTTATTCTATTGTGAAGTAATGCTCTTTTATCTCAACTTTATTTAACGTTTAAAGGGCACTCCTTATAGAATGTATTTATATTTAATAAGGAACATGTTTATGGAAAGAAGTTCTAACTTTAAGTTAAACTTTTCTTACACTTTTTTAAACTATTTTATTTTCATTTTTTATTAGTTAGTTATTTCGTTCCTCATTCCTAAACTAGAGCTTTTGAATATGCTTAATCTTTAATAGAGGAAAATTATTGTTCTCTGTATTGGGCTAGAGAAAAAGTTTAAATTGCATATTTTTAAAGTTTATTTCACATTTTCCAATATTATTTTACTTTTTGTACTAGGTCATGCATGCATTTAGCAGTTGTACACTTAAGAGGGTGGGTAATATTTGAATGTTATGAATAGATTTTTGAGCCTTTTGCCAAGTGCCTTTGTTTTGCATAATATTTTGATAATTGGCATCAAAATAAGTTTATTGTACGTTCATAAAGAATGGCAAGGAAGATTGTAATGTCTTAACTTGAAATTTAGCAAAAATGTTTTTCTTGAACTTCAATGCAGAAAATCAAGGCAATCCAGGTATGAATGTGTGTGTTTTTGCGTGTGTGTGTGTGTAAGTGAAGGGGAAATGAAATACTGAGTTATATGTGATGAAACAGACATTGAAATAGTCTGTTATCAAAAAATACACATAGGCAAGATTATACATAATTTTTAAAATCCAAATGAATCGCTGGATTTATACCTAGATCTTCTCACTTCTATGACATACTATATTACTCCTTGCCCTTCCAAGGCAATAAATGTTGCCTTGATCTACAAGTTATTGTTGTGTGCATGTGAACAGAAGCATGCTCTGTCAAAGAGAATTAACCTTTCCAAAGGTACTACTAGACTTTTTAATCCATTCACACACACACAGATCTATTTACTATTACAAAAGAAGAACATGTGGGGTTTTTTTCCTGCTTTTATAACTATGAAATGGAATGTTCTTCTTACCTTTAACCTTATGCTTGAGCTATCCATATCAGTTTTTTTTTTCTACTGACAGTATTTATTGAGAGTAGCTCACTTTATTAATTATGCATCCTGATATCTTATAGAATGGGTATTGTATTTCAATATTATTAATTAAGTGGGCCTTTGTTAGATATAAAGCAAGATACCTCCAGTAGGTCCTCTTAGCTGTAAGTTTTATATTGTACAGGTGAACAAGGTATTTTTGTGTAAATCAGTTTACTAAATTGTATTATTTTCAAGCTAGATTGTGATGGTAAGGTTAAGTAAGGCAAATGTAGTGTTTTAAAATACATGACAAGGTACAGATTAAAAATCACTTGCTCAGGATTACGTATGTGTGTAGAGTTGTTGATATACTAGGTTCATGGCCATAATTGTTGTACTGTCTGTTAAAGCTTAATTGAAAACTAATTTAGTCCCACAATGTACTTCTTATTACTTTACTCACAAATAAGTAAATTTAACTGAAGATATAGATGGTGGTTAAGCAACATTTGAGAAGAAAGGCATGTTTATTCAGAAATCATTGGTAAGATCTATAAAAATACACTTTAAAAAATGTCACACAGAGTGTAATGCCTGCTTTAACTGAGTCGCTTATAATGTTCTTCAGGAAGCATATTAAAATTTCTTCACTCGGCTCTTACACTTTCCCTTTCTCATTCTTTCTGCCTCTTGATCTCTTGGTTTTAAAATCTTCCTCCTTATTTTGTAGACACTGCTCTCCTGTTCACTACTTCTTCTCTGTCTTTACGTCTCATCACTGGGCCTCTCTCAGTGTCTGTTTTCCCAACCTTCATCCCAAATTCCAGCTGTATATCTACAACCAGTTGGTCAGGTAACTTTGCACCTTTTTCAGTGCACTCTTTGATAGAGCATGCTCTGTTCTTTTTGTTTGTTTTGTTTGCTTTTTTTCCTCTCTCTCTGTTTTTTTTTTAACAGCCTGGAGGCCTCTTGTCAAATGTCCCATAAATTTTACCTTTTGTTTCCACATTAATTTGACATGATGATTGCTCAAGAAGTAGAGTGACAGGTCTTATGCTTTTTAGTGTTTGTGCGATACATGTATGCATTTTTGTTGGTTAGCTACCACTATAGATATAACGCTAGTAATGTGAGCAGCCCACATTTTATTTAGTTGTGGCATCTACATTCGAAGATGGTTTATTAGTAGCCTCTAAACTAAGTAATTTTTCCTAACTCAGTAATTTCTCCTAACCCTTTGGGCCTAAGATATCATTGGCTATTTAAGTTCAGAAATCAGGTTAAATTGAGAATTTGATGCATACCTTTACTTAAGTAAATAAATAGTTAGGTTTATATGCATAAAACATGGACTGTGGTACTCAGTGTTCTCTCCATGAAAAAAAGATTTACCACTTGACATTGCATCTCTTAGGTAATGGAAGAAACAAAACTCATTAGACCTGAAACAAAGCCAGGCAGAACTTTAAAATAAAAGTAAAAAAGGGACATGAACATGTTTTTTGTTTGCTTGCTTGTTTTGGGGCTTTTGGGTTTGTTTTTTATTATTTTTGGTATTTGTTGTTTCGGGTTTTGTGTGTTTTCTGGTCTGAGCCTTCAGAATAAATTCCTTACCTCTTCTGTTATAGAAAAGAATAACCTACAAAAAATGAATATATAAATATGAACATTATCAATTATGGTTGTCTAGATATTCTGAAGGTTTTTTTTTCTCAATATACTGCTATTTTTCCTTTGCTAACTTTACAAACCATTATGAGTAAAACATAAATTCCCTCATTTTCTGAATAAGTTGACTCATGAAAGCTTATATTATCTCAAGCCTTTTTCAGAAAGAAGAGTAGTATGAATGTTCTGCTTTTGCACAGCTTGTTGATAAGGTGATGAGTGAGAGCTCTCATAGTGATCTCTGCCTATAGATTTGTTCTCTCAAACTGTTCTTCATGGTATGACCATAGGTTTCTGACAAAGCGGGAGCAAAAATTAATGCAACGGCGACAGCATGCAGAGGAGCTCCTAGAGTGGAAGCGACGTTTAGATGCAGAAGAAGCAGAAATTCGTCAAATGGAAAAACAAGCTTTGGCTGCCTGGGACAAAGAATTAATAAAACCCAAAACTCCTAAGAAAGAACTGGAGGACCAGAGAACAGAACAGAAAGGTAATAAATACTAACTCTATTCACACTACAAACTAAAGCCTAACATAATTGAAAGATATATTTCATTACTTTTAAAAATGCGAGGCTGGGCACAGTGGCTCATGCCTGTAATCTGAACACTTTGGAAGGCCAAGGCCAGAGGATCGCTTGAGGCCAGGAGTTCAAGACCAGCCTGGATGACATAGCAGACCCCGATTCTACAAAAAATTAAAAAGTTAGCTGGGTATGGTGGTACATACCTATAGTCCTAGCTACTGAGGCGAGAGGCTTGCTTGAGCCCAAGAGGTCAAGGTTACAGAGAGCTGTGATCACCCCACTGTGCTCCAGACTGTGTCAGAGTGAGCTCTGTCTCTAAAAATAAAATAAAATTGTAATTAAAATGCAGATGATTGAGGTGATGCAAATGATGAGAAAGATGATATAACCACAAATGCTGGAGAAATTAGAAAGACAAAAAAAAATTGTGGCCAGGCATGGTGGCTCACGACTGTAATCCTTGCACTTTGGGAGGCTGAGGCAGGTGGATTGCCTGAGCTCAGGAGTTCGAGACCAGCCTGAGCAACACAGTGAAACCCCGTCTCTACTAAAATACAAAAGAAATTAGCTGGGTGTGGTGGCATGCACCCGTAATCCCAGCTACTCAGGAGACTGACGCAGGAGAATTGCTTGAACCCAAGAGGTGGAGGTCGCAGTGAGCCGAGATCACACCACTGCACTATAGCCTGGCAACAGCGAGACTCCGTCTCTCAAGAAAAAAAAAAAAAATTGTAATAACTTTATTCCAATACAAACTTGAAAACTTAGAAGAAATGGCTAAATTCTTCTAAAAAATACAACTTACCAAAGCTTACTCAGTAAGATAAGAGAACCCTCCTGATTCTTTCACCAGTAAAGGAATTGTACCCCAGTAACTAGGCATCTTTTTACATAGACCTCATCCATCTTTACCAGTATACTAGATTTAAAAGGGAGGGGGGTGAAACATGGTATTATAATTCTTTACTTTTCCATAGAATAAAAAAAGAGACATTTCTCAACTCATTTTATGAGGCTAGTATATAAGTTTGATATTATGTCCATAGAAGGACAGTATCAGAAAACGAAAGGCCAGTCTTACCTATCCTGAAGTATGTATTAGCACACCAAGTTCAACTATATATGCAAATCCTAATACTTAATGACAGAGTGGGATTAGCACACATTAAACAGTTGATAATGTGGTGAATTACCTTACCCAGATTAAAGGAGAAGAATTGATCATCTCAATGGATTCAGAAAGGCATTTGATAAAATTTAAAAAACATTTGTGGGCCAGACTCAGTGACATACGCCTGTAATCCCAACACTTTGGGAGGCTGAGGTGGGTGGATCACTTGAACCCAGGAGTTCGAGACCAGCCTGGGCAACATGGTAAAACCCTGTCTCTACCAAAAATAAAAAAATTAGTTGAGCATGGTGACACGCACCTGTGGTCCCAGCTACTCGGGAGGCTGAGACACGAAAATCACCTGAGCCCAGGAGGCAGAGGTTACAGTGAGCTAAGATCATACCACTGCACTCCAACCTGGGTGACAGAATGAGACTCTGTCTCAAAAAAAAAAAATGACTACATAAAAATAAAAAGCATTTGTGATAAAATAAATAAACCTCAGATCAAAGTAGCCGTAGAAAGGAACTTTCTTTACCCGATAAACGGTGTTAACAAAAACAAAAAACCAAACCTATAATAGATACCATACTTAATGATAAAATACAGAAAGTTCCTTTGGATTTGGAGATAAGACTAGGATGCTTATTTTTAGCTCTATTCAGCATTGTGTAGAGGTCCTACACAGTACATTTAAGGCTAGAAAAAGAATTAAAAGCTATAAGGAGTGAAAAGAAGCAGAATTCTTGTTACTTACAGTTAATAAAGCTACACACATAGACAATCCAGAATTTACATGTTAATTATTACAATTAGTAAGTGAGCTTAACAAGGTTTCTGGTTATAAAATTCATATACAAAATTCAATTGCATGTCTATAGATCAAAAATTGATTAGAAAAATATTTTTTAAAAAAGATACAAATAGAAACAATATATAATAGAAACAAAAACTATGAAGTACCTAGGAATAAATTTAACAAAAAGTGTACAAGATCTTTATATAGAAAAATTTAGAATTTTATTAGGAGACGTTAAAGAAAACCAAAACAGCCTGGGCACAGTGGCTTGCTTATGCCTGTAATCCCAACACTTTGGGAGGCTGAGGCATGCACATTGCTTAAGCTCAAGAGTTCATGACAAGCCTGAGCAACATGACCAAACACTGCCTCTACAGAAATATTAGCCAGGCATGGTGGCACAGGCCTATAGTCCCAGCTACTTAGGAGGCAGAGGCAGGAGGATTGCTTGTTCCTGGGAGGTCGAGGCTGCAGTGAGCCCTGTTCATGCTACTACACTCCAGCCTGGGTGACAAAGCAAGACCCTATCTCAAAAAAAAAAAAAAAAAAAAAAAAAAAGCCAAAATAAACGGAACATTATTCCATATTCACAGATTCAGTGTCATAAGATACTAATTCTCCTTAAACTGATCTGTAGATTCAAGACTATTTACATCAGAAACTCAGCAAGGTTTCTTCATAGGAAACCTTTGACAAGCTCATTAAAAAATTTATATGAGGCCAGGCATGGTGGTTCACACCTGTAATCCCAGCACTTTGGGAGGCCGAGGTGGATGGATCACCTGAGGTCAGAGTTGGAGTCAAGCCTGGCCACTATGGTGAAACCCCCTCTCTACTAAAAAGACAAAAATTAGCTGGGTGTGGTGACATGTGCCTGTAATCCCAGCTACTTGGGAGGCTGAGGCAGAAGAATCACTTGAACCCAGGAAGCAGAGGTTACAGTGAGCCGAGATCATGCCACTGCACTCCATCCTGGGCAACAAGAACGGAACGCCATCTAAAAAAAAAAAAAAAAAATTACATGAAAGAACAATGACCAAAAAGCAAAGACACTAGTAAAGAAGAACCACAAAATGCTGAAACTTACTTTACCATGTATCAAGACTTCTAAGTTGTAG